CAGCAGGGTTGGGTCAGTGTACAGGGAGGGAGTCTGCAGATCTGCTCTTGACCTCCTTTCTGGTGCTCTGACACTTTTGGGGGGCCTTCCAAACACCCCTTTTGGCAAACACCAAGGACGACTCTCTACATATTTCTTCTCCACCACAACTCAACAGAGCAGCACAAGACATAAACATGTGTGAGGAACCCACCCGGTTCTTCTGGGGAGTTACAATAACAGCACTTTAATATGGATGAGAGAGAACACCGCTGCTCCTTGACTTTCACATCCCCAGAAACCCATCATCAGTTGAAAATACTGTAAGCTGAAAATGCATTTATAAACATCTTAGGTTAGCAACACAGAACACTGCAGAGTGTTGGGTTGTTTCCCCATGACAAACAGCTGAGTGGAAGCTGCAGCTTGCGGCCAAAATGCCCAATACCGAATCACATTGAGTATCCGTAGCTTGGAATCAGAGCAAAATTCAAGATTCAAAGCACCAATTCTACTGAATGAATATTGTTTCCACATCATTGTAAAGTCAGTAAACTATCATTTGAGGACCTGAAGTCTATGTGAAAATGTCCTAAATAATTCACAAGGACTCTCTGGGGGAGGAGATGTACATTAGAGTCAGTCTTCCCTGTTCAGCACTTGTACACCAAAATACCCTAAACTCAAAAACAATTTAAGGAGCTGGGGCAAGCGCAAGGTCGTGAGTTCGGTTCCCGGTACCGGAGGAAAAAAAAAAAAAAAAAAAGGAGCTGGGCGTGGTGACACACACGCCTGTAATCCCAGCACTCGGGAGGGTTGTCGCAAATTTGAGACCAATCTGGGCTACAAAGTGTGCTCAAAGCCAGCCTGAACTGCATAGTGATGCTCTATCTCAAAAAGACAAAAACAAACAAACAAAAAAAACAATTTAAGTCAGAGAAAAATTAATAGAAGACCCAGGGTGAAAAAAGAAGACCCAGGGTGTCCCAAGGAATATTTGAGAGGCAGGTGGCAGAGAGAGCTACGGCATAGTGGTAGCGTATGTACCACAACTTCGGGTTCAGCTCTCATCCTAACCAGCTCTATGGGCCCTTGGGCAGCTCATTTCACCACTGCCAGCCTCCAACTTTCTTATCCATGGAAGAAGACAAACTTCAGCTCACAGGATGTGAGATGTAAATGAGATATTGTCTGTAAATCAACCTAGTAAAACAGGCTCAGGGAAGCAAGGTGGGAGCTCTACTGATTCCTAGCTGCAGGGCCCACAGCAAATCAGTTCCTAGGACCTCAGTCTCCACAGGATGAAGATAATACTACGATGTAATAGGATCTGGGGGAAAAGAGATGCTACAAGTAAGCACTCAGAATGGTGATTTGCACATAGTGAGTGCTCAGTAAGTGGTAATTACTACTGGGATAAAAGCATGGTGTCTCAAATCTTATTTGCCTGGGTTTGGGCCCTAGTGGCTCTATCACGTAACTAAGAGTTTTTGTTTTGTTTTATTGTTTTGAGAAAGGGTCTCATTATGTAGTTAGGGCTGGCCTTGAACTCACTATGCAGCCCAGGCTGGCCTCAAATTCATGGCGACCCTCCCGCCTCAGCCTCCCAAGTGCTGGAATTACAGGTGTGCGCCCCCACGCCCAGCTTAACTGAGATTTCTGCACGATATTTAGCCTTCCTGCCCTCAATTTCTTCACTCACACAAGGAAGACAACTACAAGCCTTCTCTGGAGGATCGTGAAGACGACAGATACGAGATGCCCAACTCTATTTCTAGCAGTTGGTAACAGCTCTGAAAGAGTTCGCTATCATTCTCATTTTCCACATTATTATTCTCCTTCATCCTTGTAGAGTTTTCGAGCTAGTCTACTTCCTCTTTACCACTATACATGCAAACATGTTAGAAAGGAACCCAAATTTAAATGCACAGGGTGCCCAGAGAAGTCGGGATGAATGGGTGGGCGGGTTACAGGCTGCTGGCGTAGAAGGGAAACGCGGAACGCCAGGCTCTGGAGGCTGGCGGCCGTGCCCGCCTCCTCCGGGGACCCCCTCCCTCCGAGCCCCGGCTCCCTAACCGTAGGGACAAGCCGCCGCGCACGGTGGCTCCGGCCCCGAGCAGCTCTAAGCCGCACCTCCCTTTCCTCCCTCCTGCATGGGACAGGCCTCGCAACCTCCAAGGAACACGACTACGAGACAGGCAGGACAGAGGAGACTCGGTAGCCCCGGGTCTGAAGCCAACCTCCCTTCCCCACGCGAGGGAGGCCGTTCCTCCGGAACTTCGTGCCCGACGTGAGCCCGGCAGGAAGAAGCAGGGAGCAACGCGGGTCGCGCCTGGCAGCGTTTTAGATCGCTACCTGTTTACCAATCCTTCCGCCCTCCGGGCGTCGTTAAGAGCCCTAAAGCCAGCTCCACGGAGCAAGGCTCTCGGGGTTCCCTTTACTAGCTGTGTTAAGTCCCGCTCGTCTCACCTCAAGGCTCTGCGGCTTCTCCATGAGACCTAACTTAGTTTCCTCGACCGTCATCAGGTGCGGGAAGCCATATTGGCCTCGCCGCTCTCCCCGAGCTTGTTCATTGGTCGCGTCTCTGAGTCGAAAGCCAATCAGGCTACAGGAAAGAGGAAAAGCCGGTTCCGCTCGGTTCGCGTCGCTCCTCCCCCTGGAGGCTGGGAAGCCGCGGGTCTTTGTGTGACTTGTAGTTAACGCCTGGAGGCGCCTGAGGCGGAGGCCTGGCGTTGCCACGGCAACGGGGAAATTCTGCCCTGAGCTCTTGGAGCTGTTTTTACAGGGCTCCTCATCCTCACCATGTTCTACTTTAAGCAATTACTCAGCACTTACTGAGCACATTTCCAGGTTCCAAAGAATAACCTCGCACCTCCCCACTTAGAAATTTAAGATGGGTTTGTGCCGGGGACTCAGTTTAGACGGAAACTGGAATAGGTGCATGCACAAAGCTAAAAATGAGCCAGGCATGGGGGCTCACGGTTGCAATCCCTGCACTTGGGAGGCGGAGACAGAAGGATCGCTGTGAGTTTGAGGCCAGCCTGGGCTACACAGCAAGGCTCTGTCTCAAACAAAGACTGAATGAGTCCTGAAACCCACCTTCCCTGTGACGTATTGTTTTTCACACTAGTACAAACCAGTACATCGAAAGCATGAGAAAGCAGAAACCTGAGCTTTCCAGAATCATAGTTGGAAAGTCCGAGACTTTGGGAGAGGGAAAGAGACAGAGAGGGGACCACAGTGACAGCAACCATCAGCCTGAGTTGAAATGGCTGTTATTAGGAATCCAGCTGAACCATCTTACAACTCACTAAACACTGGTTGCTTAGCAACAGTGGCCAGCAAGCCCAGTGCTCTGGAGCTCCTGGCTCTGGGGCTCCGGCTGCAGCCAGAGTGCTTTCTGGCTGGTCCAAGCCATCCCTTCTCCTCCCCGACCCCATGCCCTCTCTTTTCAGACTCTTCCCTCTGTGAGTCATTGACCCTCCTGGGATGTTTTTGAGGTGGGGGGATAGTACTGCAGATTGAACCCAAGGAATACTGAGCTACCCATCTCCAGCCGTTTTGATTGCCAGCCCTTCATATTCTGACACAAGGTTTTGCTTAGTTGTTTAGGCTGTCCTCAAATTTGTGATCCTCCTGCCTGAGCCTCCAGAGTACCTGGGGTTAGAGATAGGCCTGCCCCACAGCACCCAGCTGGTTGTCATCCTGAGCGAGTTATTCCCCTCAGCTTGTTCCTCATTTGTCAAGTGGGCCCTTTCTGAGGATGCTGTAAGCTAAGTCAGCAAAGCACCTGGGATACCGCCTCCTGTCCGTCCCTTCCAGGATCCAGGCGTCACAGCACAGTTAAAGACTTGGCCTCCTTTATGCTCCTTCCTCTCAGGTCCGTCCTGGCCCTGAGTCCAGGGGGCTGCAAGACCCTCTGACTGCACAGGCGACCACCGCGGCCCTTCCTGAGGTCTCCGCCCAGCGCACCTGCAGCTGCACCCCGAGGGTCCGGGTCTGGTTCTTCTCCGTCTGGGCCCGGCGGGCCCTGCCTCCGCCCCTCCCCCTCAGCTCCCCTCCAGGCCCCGGCCTCCCCGCCCGCCTCTCCCGAGCCCTTCCCCACCCCCACCACACGGCCTCTCCCAGCGCCTCCTGCATCCCTGTCACTCAGCGCGAGCCGTGCTCTTTGTCTTGCCCAAGCGTCCTTGTGCTGGAGACCTGGCCGACTGGAGGGCGCAGCTGGCAGCTGTGCGCAGGGCTGCGTCCTGTCCTGCTCGTGCGCTCGGCCCGGCGGGCTTGGCCCGCAACTGTGCAGCGAGGGCATGGTGTGGGCGACAAGGGTTCTAAACCTTGCTCTGCAATGTCCCGATGGAAAGGACCCGTGACCTCGCCATGCTCACACCCAGCACTCACAGGCTGGGCTCCAAGCTCATCTCAGCTGCCTAGGACTCCTCTGCATGCATTTTCCTCCTCCCGGTTCCCTCACATGAGCCGTGCATGGTGCCGCATGCCTGTAATCCCAGCACCAGGGAGGCTGAGGTAGGAGGATCACTGTGAGTTCAAGGCCAACCTGAGCTATACAAGCGAGTTTAAGGCCAGCCTGCACATACGTAGTGAAACCGTCTCAAGAACACCAGAACACAAAACCCTCATAGGAGCACGCCTTGCCTCAGGGCTGGGTTTTGAAAAGCTGCTTGTGACTGGGGCAGGATGACCATCCTGGGTGCTCCCTCTCCTCCCTGTGAGCTGAGGGTGGTTAGACCTTGATGTCACCTCACCAGCCTGGAGCAAGGTCCTGTGCCAAGGTGTGAAAAGGCTGATGTTGCTTCCACCTGGACATCTGGCTGGCACTGGGAGACCTGGACTTGCGTTTTCCTGAGCTTTGGACAAATTCACCTAAGTGTATCTGGGAATTGCCGACATGGAACAGGCAGGCTGCTGTGAGCTCCTGTTTCCTTTTTCCTCGGGCTCCTAAACAGAGGGCGCTTACACCCGAGGTGCTAGGACCAGGAGGCGCCCTGAAGAAGTGAGTCAGAGCCTCGGTGTCTCACAGTTTATTCAACGACAGGTAATAAGAAATCGAACTGGACAGGCTATACAGCGATCCCAAGCTTGTATCTACAGGTCATCAACTTTAACTGCAAGGTTTACACTTTTTTACAGAAAGCGAGACTGTGTGTGGCAGAAGAACCAAAACAGGGAGACCTTGCATGTTCTGATAATCACACTGGGTGACTTCTCACTTTTTCATTTTTCCTTTATGAGATGTCTAACAAAAATTTTTCTGTAAGAAGTCACAATTTATAATACGTCAACTGGGCAGTTGCTCCTATTTTGAAAAAGTCATTTCCCTCTCACACCCACAGATTATTTTAATACTTGAAGTTTTATTTTCAGACTTATAGAAAATTTTCTGGAGCATTAAAGTTGACTCAGACCAAACGGGAAAGTTTTTTCCCAGACCATCTCACCAAAAATTTTTTTAAAAAATGAGTATTTTAGCACTCGGGGAGAAACTGCCATTTTAATATACTTATGTACGTGGAACATATTTTTTAAGTAACATGAACCCCTGCTGTACTTTGGTTTTAGAATCTTAAAAATTCTTCCATAAAGTGAAGAAAATAAGGAAAAATTTTCACTTCTGAACCAGTAAATAGTAACTACTGATATTACACATTTTCCTTAATTTTAAAAAACTAGTAAAACCTACTGGAGGTGCAAGGCAGGAGCATACCGGGGCCTCCGCCCTCAGCCTCCCCCCAGCGCGCTCGAACCACACGCGCACAGCGAAGGTCGGCTGGGCAAGCACAGCAGGGTCTGTTCTTAGTGTGCTGTCATCCTCAGGCTCACCTGGCACCTTCACTTGAAACCCCAAATGGCACTGCGCACGGTGGCCCACGCATGAATCCCAGCACCTGGGAGGCTGAGGGAGGACGACCATGGAGTTCAAGCCCAGCTTGGGCAACTTCTCAGTGACTGAGACCTGGCTACAAAAGGTTTTAACTGGACTGGGGATATAGCTCAGTGCAATGACCCTGGGTTCATTCCCCAATAATGCAAATGAAATGAAGCCAAATCAGAAATAACCTCCACAAATGACTACTGCACAGTTCTTAGGTGTTCTAAGGAAAAACTGTTTCATAGGCTAAGAAAGATTCCAAAAAACTTCGTTCAGTTCAAAAAGTCTTAAGAGAAAATAATTTTTCTCTGCTCCCAAAGTACCACCAGGTGTGTTACATGTCTGGCGTACTCCGTGAGAGGTCCGAATTCAATCTGAGCTATCGGTGCCGAGTCCCAGGTCCACGATGCTTGTACCATGGTTTGCCGTGCCTGGATGGCTAGCGAGCTGAAAGCTCATCAGATTCTAGTCTGGGCGGGCAAAATGCCCTTGTTCCATGGGGTTGGCAGCCTGGGCAGCAGTCAGTCCAAGATGTAGGGAACTGGTCTGTGGGAAACATGGTGTGGAGAAGACTGAGGCTGCATCCTCGGGGTTAGGGACAGGCTGGGATGGAGGCCTTGGGAAAGGGATAGGATTGCGGGACCACATGTGACTGGAATGAGAACTGGGGATCGCCTTGGAGGTGTGGGGACTGGACCTGCTTTGGGAACGTGGCTGCTGGGGGCGCATGAGGTTCAGCTGAGCAGGGGACCCCACCTGCTGCTAGAGGAGTCACTGCGGATAGGCCTGCAGACTGTCTCCCGCCTCTGCTCCCAAGGCTTGGGGGAGCCGGCCCATCTGTTCCCTTGTTGCATCTACTGCACGTGATGCTGCGCCCGCTGCTGCTGCATCATCTGCTGTGGTCTCAACACGTCCCAGAATAGGGAAGACACGCTGCTGTGATTCATGTTCATTGGCTGCCTCTGGGGGGCTCATCCCTCCCATAGGTGGCTCGAGTGACTGCCGAGGCAGCTGTTGGCCCAGGCTAGCCCTATGCACGCCTGCCTGCATGGATTCATGTTCTGCGTGGCTGACCTGAAGTGGACCCTCTGCATGGCTGGCAGCTGCAGCCCTGGCTGTCCAGGGAGAAGCTGTGGATGAGTTGGTATACTCGACAGCCCGCTGTTTCATGAATGCAGCCAACAGCTTGGGGAGGGCACAAGGGTTGCTGCTGTAGGGGACAGCTAAGAGGTCCAAGAGTCCACAGCTTTTATAAGGCTTATTGAGACAGTGCCCAGCATGAGTGGGCTGGCCCACTGGCTGTGGAGCCACATTCAAGGACTGCCCGTGCTGAGCCACTGACGTCATCCCCGACTGGAGTTGCTAGGGCTGAGGCAGTCCCTCTTGGGCCCAGGGGAGCTGCTGCTGCATTGCCGTGGGCCCCATCCCTGGCTCCAGATGCCCCCTGGGATCTCTGGCATGGGAAATGGGTTCATACACAAAGGAGTCATCTGGGGCACCTGGTGCTGGATTGGCCTCTGTACAATTTACACAGTGTCTTGGCTGCTCTCTGAATCTGCAAGGCCACTTTTACTCTGTAGATGGGGGCGCTAGCAAGGGTGGCCAAACAGTCAGTGTAGAGCCTGGAGGGTGGCCAGGGATGTTTCCGGAAGGGGTGAGATGGGACATCTGAGGGGTTTTTAGCTGTTCTGTGGTTGGCAAGGTTGGAGTGGTTGGAGAGGCAGGGGTTGGGGAAGGCAGGCCCTGTTGCTGGCCCACTACACAGATAAGCTACATGCTGGCCATCCTCCTGCGCACCATCCTGGACCGCTGGCGCTGCAGCCGCTGCTGCCGCAGCTTTTGCTTGATCCTGAAGCAGAATGGCACAGGACAGTTGTTCTCCTGGCAACGCTTGGCATGGTAGCAGCAAAGGGCAATGAGCTGCCTACAGACGGGGCACCCACCAATCGCCTTTCGCCGGCAGTTCTTGGTATGTTCCACAACTCTCTTCATCTTCTTGCAGGTTGGCAGGGTGCAGCTGGCATCACGACACTGGCGGGCATGGATCAGGGATTGGATGCTACGCTGGATCCTTTGGCGGTGAATATCTCGCGGGTTCTGGATGGCACCAGCCTGCTGGTTGCTGCTCTCACCTTCTATGCCAGGACCTACTTTATCCATCTTGTGGATGTGGTTTTTAGTGTGATAGCAGGAGACACACAAGACGTACTCCTGGGGAAAAAACACAGGAAGTACAGATCAACTCTCAAAATGTAATCACTGAAAAGCATTTTAAATAGTCTGAATGAAGAAAAGTGCTTTTCTTTTGTTGTTT